TATTCCCTTCATGGAAAAGGAGATTTATTGCACTTAATGGAATGGACACAGTGTAACCTCTGTTAACTATAATCAGAACAGTGCCCTAGTCCACTCTTTGTCTTTTCTGGCTTCATGTTCCTTCTGTTCACTGGCCACATTTTCCCTTCTGGATTTAGAACTTCTCACCCCATTGAATTCAACACATCCAGAGGAGTCAGAGAACAGGCCTTAGTAGTTTAATAACAGGAGGCTCTCAAGCCCCAGCTAGGTCAGCTTAAGAAGTATAAAAGTATAACTTTTAGGACTTTTGGGATGCCTGGGTGGCTCAGCAGTTGAGCGTCTGCCTTCGGCTCAGGGCGTGATCCTGGAATTCTGGGATCCAGTCCCACATCGGGCTCCCTTTGGGGAGCCTGCTTCTCCCTCTGCCTACGTCTCTGTCTTCTCTCTGTGTCTCTTAGAGATTTTTTAAATCTTTTAAAAAAAGTATTACTTGTTCTTTTTACAAGACTGACTTCATAGTTTGTGTCAAAATGGAGGGTGAGGTGGGGAGAAGGGAAGTGGGCTGCTATTCAAAATGCCTGCTGCCTCTTACCTCTTGAGTGGTCAGAATGAGTGTGATAGAAGAGGAAAGTACACTTTGAAATAGACCTCACATGGGCTAGGGTGAGGAGCCAGGGAATCCAGCTGTTGATCGCAGAACTGACAGCAGAGAGGAAGATTAAGAGAAGTTTCAGAGGGACCCCTGGGTGGCTCAGCGGTTTGGCGCCTGCTTTTGGCCCGGGGAGCAATCCTGGGGTCCCGGGATCGAGTCCTGAGTCGGGCTCCCAGCATGGAGCCTGCTTCTCCCTCTGCCTGTGTCTGTGCCTCTCTCTCTCTGTGTGCCTATCATGAATAAATAAATAAATCTTAAAAAAAAAAAAAAAAGTATCAGAACAGCTGCAGTCCTCTGTCACCTGGACCGCATTATAAATAGACGTGGGAACTCAGCTAACCAGGGAGGTCAGGACAATAAGATAATAGCTGGCCTCCATGGTGCTCCAAATCAAAACTAGTTTCCTGGTTTTTTAAGGGACTTGGTTACCAACTTGTTTAAATAGCAGTTTATATATATTTCATTGATCCTGAGATGCCCATGTTTTCACATTTTTACATCTTTGATAGCAGGATGCTCTTACTATTAATGACGTACTGTAGTTTAATTGCAGGTGTTCTTTTTTCTTAGTGGATCACTTTATGATCAATGATATCTTTGGTTCAGGAGTACACAAAGAATATGTATGTGTATGCCTTTGGGGGCTGGCAGGTGTTAAAGAGGTGAGACAAGCTCTCTTTCCAGTGGAGGAGTCAAAGGCAATGCTGATGTTTTGTTTGTTTGTTTGTTTGTTTGTTTTTTAAATGCTGATGTTTTAAGTCTGCTATGTACTCTCTATGTTTATGTGAAAGAACATCTTTGGTCAATATTTTTTTTAAGGTTTTATTTATTTATTTGAGAAGAGATGGAGCATGAGCAGAGGCAGAAGAAGAAGGAGAAGCAGACTCCTTGTTGAGCAGGAAGCCTGATGCAGGGCTCTATCCCAGGGATCATGACCTGAGCCACTCAGGTGCCCCTCTTTGGTTGATATTAAGGCTCTTGTTACTGTGTGTTTTGAGCAGTTTGCAATCAGGAGAATCAATTGGAAACTATTAGATACTTCTCCAATTATTTCTTAATAATAATTAAGTTCTAGGGTCATCTTTAGGATTCTTGTGATCCAAGGCATAACAGGTTTCATGAAAATTTTTGCTTATTTTCTTTTCAGAAATTTCATTTGATGTATCCTACTGAGAACTTGCTTCTGTTACCAGTTTTATAATTTATTAGGGCAGCCTACGACATTGCAAAATGTTTCTTGAAAATAACTCTGGCAAAAAAAAAAAAAAGAAAAGAACTGGCTTATTTCCTGATTTTTGAGCATCTCTGCCTTCTTTGGTATCTTCTGTAGAAAGATTACTGAAGTAAAGATAGGTTGTTTGGGAAAATCATTCATTGTTCTTTTTTTTTTTTGAATTCATTGTTCTTAAGCTGTGTACATATTTGTACACATGAACATGCAGGACACATGTATACATCCATGACATATTCTTAATTTAGAGTTTCTAAGAATTCTTATTCATATGGTCTACAGTGAGATTAGAGTGTAAACATATGCATACAGTTATAAGGTGCACTATATTGACATTTTTAAAAGTTTATTTATTGTAAGTAACCTCTACATCCAATGTGGGGCTTAAACTCATGACCCAGAGCCCAAGAGTCCCATGCTATCCTGGCCAGGCACTTATATTGAAATTTTTTTTTATTGAAATATTTTTAGAAAAACTCTACTGTTAGGGTGCCTGGGTGACTCAGTTGGTTACCTGTCTGACTCTTGATTTCAGCTTGGGTCATGATCTCAGGGTCCGGAGATCAGACCCTGTGTTGGGCTCTGCATTCAGCATGGAGCCTCCTTGGGATTCTCTCTTCCTCTCCTTCCATCCTTCCCCACTGCCTGCATGCTCATTTCTTCGCAGTCTCTCAAAAAGAAAAAAAAAAATTCTGCAGTTTGTGGGAGTGAGATAACTGAAGTCTAAGAATGTTGGTTAATATTGATCATATGACCCTTTAGATTCATGGTGGTTAAGATCCTGGCTCTGAAGTCACGCTGTTAGGTGTTTGAATTTTAGCTCCTGTAACCTTGGACAGGTTACTTAACTCCTCTGTGTGAGTGCTCTCCTCTGTAAAACAGGAATAATAACAGTACCTACCTCATAGAATTCATTCGGATAACTAATATAGCATATGTAGCAGCATGCCTAGCATAAGATGCACTTGATAAATATTAGCAGGCATTTTTTATTGATAAAGTATCACATCAAGAGCGAGACCAGAGCTCTTGAACTATTGGTTAAATAAAAAAATTTCTTCTTAGTAAAGGAACTATAGTTAAAAGGTAGGGACATATTTTCTAACTTGGTGCTTTTAGGATATTCCCCAAGTTAATTGTGCTGTCTTTGAAGTAGGGATGTTTGCTAGAATGTGATCACCATGAAGGTAGGAGCTTTTGTCTGTTCTATCAACTCATTTGTCCCCAATCCCTGCAATAGTGCCTGACTCCATCACTATATGTTGAATAAATGAAAGGAGATCAGTGGCTATTAAAGCTATAAACTTCATCTTGTGGACTGAATTATGTAAATTATTCCATTATGTAATGATTTAAAATGATGGTTTAACAGTGGTATGGAGAGAACTTTTAAATTACTAGAAACTGGGGACTCCTGAGTGGCTCAGTGGTTGAACATTTGCCTTGGGCTCAGGGCGTGATCCCAGGGTCCTGGAATCAAGTCCCACATCAGGCTTCCCTGCAGGGAGCCTGCTTCTCCCTCTGCCTATGTCTCTGCCTCTTTCTCTGTATCTCTCATGAGCAAATAAAATCTTTAAAAAATTACTATAAACTGAAACCTAAGGTACATTTAAACAAGCTGATTTCATTGTTCGAAATATAAGCTAAAATATATTTAAGTAAATTGAGATAAGTTACTGTTCACAATTTTGAGTATGTATAATTAATAGTGTACTATAAAGGGTAGAATTTCAAGTTACCTCATAAAAAAACATAGAATTTAAAAATTGCACCTAAAACAAAGAGGCATCTGGGTGGCTCAGTTGGTTAAGCAGAGTCTGCCTTCAACTTAGGTCATGATCGCTGGGTCCTGGGATCAAGTACTACATTAGGCTCCTTGCTCAGCAGGAAGTCTACTTCTCCCTCTGCCCCTCCCTCTCCCCCCTGTTCATTCTTACTCGCTCTCTCAAATAAATAAAATCTTTTAAAAAAATTATATGCACCTAAAACAGTAAATATTATATGCACATATTAATAGTAATTATCTCTGAGTAGGGGGATTATAGATAATTTTTAAATACTTCCTTTGCTTCTCGTTATTTTCTGGTATTTCCTGTATTAAAGTAGTACCTGATGGGCAGCCCCGGTGGCGCAGTGGTTTAGCGCCGCCTTCGGCCCAGGGCATGATCCTGGAGACCCAGGATCAAGTCCCACATCGGGCTCCCTGCATGGAGCCTGCTTCTCTCTCTGCCTCTCTCTCTGTGTGTGTCTCTATGATAAATAAATAAAATCTTTAAAAAAAAGTAGTACCTGAGCTTAAAAGGGACCACAAAAAAAATCCAGCTAGTATTTATTGAGTGCTTATGATGCATTTGTCATTGCTTTAGCCACTAGGCATACAGTGATGAAGAAAAACAAAGACTCTATATTCTTTTTTTAAATAATTTTTTAGTTTTTAATTTAAAAAAAATTTTAAAGATATTATTTGAGAGAGAATGTGAGAGAGAACACAAATAAGGAGGAGGGGCAGAGGGAGAGGCAGAAGTAGACTCCCCGATGAGCAGGGAGCCTGACTCAGGGCTTGAGCTCAGGAACCAGAGATCATGACCTGAGCTGAAGGCAGACACTTAACCGACTGAGCCACCCAGGTGCCCCTAGGGGAAAAAAAAAATTTTATTATTTTTTTATTTAAATCAAAGCCTCTATATTCTAATAGAGGGGCGAGACAATAAACTTAGGAAATGAGCTCTATATTTAGAGACAGGAAACCGAGGCCCATAGAGGTTCAAGTGACTTGCCAAAAACCACAACATAGTTGGCCTAACAGTCCTGCTCACCTGACTGACTTCTTGGTGCTTTTTCTGTTATACCTTCTTGGCTTTCTTAACATTCAAGAATCAAATGCAAATTCTAGAGCATTCTAAATTCGAAGTCTAATTGAATTTTGCTGTGAGTCTCACAAAGGCGTTTTGTTTTATGAGGCAGTGTTGTGTAGAATAAGGATTGTGTGTTTTCTACCCACTTATGTCAGCAGAAAATCCCTTAAACTCTCTGGACCTTGTTTTCATCACCTGTGAAATAAAGAGATCAGCTGTCTTGTTACTTCCACAGTCCTGTTATTTGATTTGGAGTTCTGTATGTGTGTTCTCTCTGCAGCCATCCACACCGCTGCTATGGATATGCTGGGAGGATCTGGTATTGAAAGCCAGTGTAGAAAAGTTGATATCATTGCCGATGCTGCCTATTCCATTTTTAAAAAGCCAAAAAGTTTTACTGGAAATTTTATTATTGATGAAAATATCTTAAGAGAAGAAGGAATAAAAAATTTTGACATCTATGCAATTAAACCAGGTAATGCTTACAGTTTCTAAAAGTAGTGATGTATTTTTCTACATTGCCTTCAAGAAACCCTTACCTGTTTTGTATGCATGTTTGTGTGATTACAAAACTACTATGTTCTTTTAAAAGCCAACCTCCTAATGAAGGGGAAGACCATACTCACTTCAAAAAGAAAGGAAAAATAGAAGTGAATTGAGAGCTTTTTAAGTGATGTACAGATACAGAAGGCACATCAGCTAATAGCCATTTCCAGATCTTGAAACTGAAACTGAAAATTGGTTTTTAACGTTGGTCTTAAAATCACAAAGTAAAGACTTTATTCAAAGATGTGGTAATAGGTGATACAAGAGTGAGTCTCCTATGAAAACTTTTTAGGAATATGGACTCTTTCAAATATTTTTCTCTTAAGGGCAGTCTCTTAAGAGCAGCTAGCTTACTGGATGGTGAAGATGAGTGAACAGTCTGCCCTTTGTACAGTCTGCCCTATGATTTGAGAAGTTCTCAGTAGGCCCCCTTGTTCAAAAATCATTCTTCCTCTCTGAAATTGAAGGTGATGATGGTGATAATGAGATCTTTATGTATAAAACATAATCTGTATTAAATGAGACAATATAGCTGTGAGAGATATTTATTTGTGCTGAAGTGTATTTTAAATATTATTCATTAGGTTGCACTTCCACATATTTATATTTGTGTCCCCCCGTCTGTCTCTTCAGTTTAACTGAATTAGATTAAATAGCTCTTTATGGTTTTACAAAGCAGTTGTGTGGGGTTTTGTTTTGTTTTTACATTTTATTTATTCACGAGAGACACAGAGAGGCAGAGACATAAGCGGTGGGAGAAGCAGGTTCCCTGCGGGGAGCCTGATGTGGGGACTTGATCCCAGGACCCGGGGATCATGACCTGAGCCAAAGGCAGACGGTCAACCACTAAGCCACCCAGGTGTCCCACAAAGCAATTTAATATACATTATCTATTTGCCCTTCACAGCGATCCTGTGAGGGAAGCAGTATTTTTAGGGATTAAGAGCATGGAGTTTGAGAGAAGACGACCTAGGTTCAGATTCTAGTTCAGCTGCTCACTAGCTGTGTGACTTCAGGCATGTCACCCACTTTCTCTGAGCTTCACTTTCCTTACTCCTCAAGTTAAGGGAATAACAACTTCCACACAGGATGCTTGTAAGAAAAAAATGCAGTAATGTGTATAATGTGCTTGGCACAGTGCCTGGCATATGATACAATCACAGTATCCAGCAGTTAATATTTACAGTAGAAAAACAGGCCCAAAGAAATTAATCTTTGCCTTGGAGCAGTCATCTAATAAGGGACAGAACTTAAACCAGATCCAGGTCTTCTGGGTCCTGGTACAATGTAATTATTACTTTAGGTTTTAAAGACACAGTGTCATTGTGCATAAAGTCTTAAATTTAAGATTAAAAACCCTATCAAGAGTTGAGAACTTAAGATGGGTATTTTGATAAATGTTAGGATATAACAAAGACCAGTGCATTCCTGCAGTTTTTTTAATATTCTGAGGGGACAGAGATGGGAAACAAGTCCTTCTCAATGAGGAACCCCCTTCTCCCAGGGGGCCAGGTGAGTCCGGGGCACTCTGGAGAGATGTAGGACAGAAGGGTTGGATAGAATGGATGGTGAGAAGGGGGCACAGCCTCCTGGGAGAGGAGTTGTGAGGCACAACATAATTTGGTTGGATCTTAGAGATGAAATCTGCCATAGTAAAGGAGGATAACTTGGTTATGGGGAAAGTATTTTAGCTTTGTGAATGTCAAGTGGTTTGACGGTTCTCATGGGAATCTTTTCCATTGCACCAGGATGATCATTACAATAAAAACATACAATGTTCACTAAACAGGTGTTAAAATCTTAATATATTGGAGTTGTCATAGTAACCTGATTTTTTTTTGGGGGGGGGGTCAATTTCCAGGCCATCCCTTGTTACCAGATTTCTTCTTAGATGAACACCCAGATACAATTACCAAGAAAGTGGAATCACGTGGTAGGTATAGACCATATTTTATGTAGGAAAATAAAGATGCTAACTATTTTATTTCTTTCAGAATATTTTTATTTTACTTTATTTATTTATTCATAGAAAGAGAGAGAGGCAGAGACACAGGCAGAGGGAGAAGCAGGCTCCATTCAGGGAGCCTGATGTGGGATTCGATCCTGGGTCTCCAGGATCATGCCCTGGACTGACGGTGGCGCTAAACCACTGAGCCACCCGGGCTGCCCATCTTTCAGAATATTAAATTGGACATTCTTGCCTTATGCTTTTAAGCTATTTTGTAATTTAAACTAGACAAGTAATATATGGTCTTTGTTAATTCAAGCAAAGATTATCTTTTCCTTCTACGAGTAAGAAGTTCTTAATACATTATTTTCATTTGTTTTTTTAAAAAAGGTCTAAAAAGAAAACAAACACTTTTAAAGGCTTTAGTTCTTTTTCTTGGCACTGTCTTTAGGTATTTCATGTTGATGTGTTATTTTATTTTGAAGAAAAATATGTCGATCAAAGTACACCAAATATTCTGAGAGTTCATGCTGTATGACTACTTTATGGAAGAAATTAACTTCAGAGGAGGTTTTGGTTTTACCTTTTTTTTTTTTTTTGTAATTTAGGAACAATAGCTTCCTTTAATTGGTCCAGAGTTTACATTTTAGTCCTTGTGTTCTGACTTTATGCCACTAGCTTACTGAAAGATGTCAGAAGACACACTTTAACAAATAGCCATGAGAAGAAGTTCTCTCATGGTTTATTAATAAGAATCACTTCTCCTGGGCTCTTACCTTATTTTTATCTTATAGACACAGTGACTCTCCTAAGTGATCACAGATTCTTTAGATGGCTACAAAGAAATTGAAGAACAAATTTCCTGTATACTTCCGTAGCAAATTTATAGAACCTTATACCGCAGTGCATTTCAGTGCCAACCTTTTTTCTGGCTTCCTCTTTTCTATCTTTATCTTTTCTTTGTCCAAATTTTTGGAGATAGTTTAAAAAACTACTTAAAAATGGCAACTTTGGGGATCCCAGGGTGGCTCAATGGTTTGGCATCTGCCTTCGGCCCGGGGCGTTATCCTGGAGTCCCGGGAACGAGTCCCACATTGGGCTCCCTGCATGGAGCCTGCTTCTCCCTCTGCCTATGTCTCTGCTTCTCTCTTTGTCTTTCATGAAGAAAAAAAAATCTTTTTTTTTAAAGGCAACTTTTCTATCATAAAAAACTTGAGAAAATATACAGCTTATGAAAGTCTAAAAAAGTCTAGACTTCAGGGTAGGTAGGCAAGAGCAAAATGCTGGTGTTTTTTTTTTTTTTTTTTTTTTTTTTGCTTATCACCCTGATAATGGATCTGCACTCATTTAGATTCCAAATTTAAATTAATAAGAACTACTTATTGATCACATATATTCATTTTGTTTTTCAACAGATATTTATTGAGCACTACTATGTTTCAAACACTATGCTAAGTCCTTTGCATTCACTATCTAATTGAACACTTACGAGCCTACAAGGCAAGTATTATTATCTTCGTTTTACATCCGAAATCATGCATGTGGCAGAACCAGGATTTAATTTGTAGTTTCTGATTGCAAAGCCCATAGCCATAAACAGTAAACTTAAATTTCTTTTCTAACTCCCAAATACTTAATGTCCTTTAAATTAGCATATTTCCCTGCAGTAATCCAATTTATTAATTTATGATGAGGAGTTGCCATCTCATGGACTAAGTGCGTAGTTGGTATGCCCATTCTCTCCCTTGGGTCATAATGACATAGGGAACAGAATTGTAATCAGAAGGTTGTTTCATGACTGTAGAATCAGAATGAGAGAGGTTAGATAAGTAAAATATAAGATACACTTCTATTGAAATTTGATGTTTGTTAGCATCAAATTTTGATAGAAGCAATTTTGCCTGTGGAATCAGAATATATCAGGTGTATTGACTGCATTCCATATATCCATCTCCGCATGAGGGATGCCCTCATCCTTGAGGTCACAATACTCCCATTCCCTTGGCTAAAGTTTCTCTTCCCTATATGCTGCTGGACAGAGCATTTGCTGCTATAGCTCTTTTCTCTATTCTTCCTTGTTCATGCAATTCTATTCAATAGTTTTTTAGGTACATTAATATATTCACATAGGTAATCATCCAGTATATCTGGCCTGGAATCTAACATCTCTTTCAGGTGATTTTTTTTTTTTTAGTCCATATCCACATCCACTGTATGTTGACTTAACACTTTCTCTCTCATTGTGTAATTCCTCCGTCATCAACTGGGGGAATGGCTCACTTTCAGGTTAATAATCCTATTAACATTTGATTGTACCTTTTCTGGTTATTTGTGCTGTGTATGTTTGTTTTATATAATGTATTTGTAGCTTATGAAGTATATTGTAAACTATGCACATAATTTTAAATGTGTGTCTTTTCTCATATTAAAAACAGTACTATCATTTCTTCATTGATCTCCCCTCCTCCCTGCTCCACCTCACTGCAACACAGGGAGTCCAGGGAGTCCTGTTTGTTCAGTTTATTGTTGGTTTTTCTTTATAGTTTTAACTGCTTCTGTTCCAGTTATTTTGGATTCTCCCCAGAAACACTTACTCTTAGCCTAGCTGTCCTTCTCCTTTCCCTTGTATTTGTCACCACCTTTTATTATTTCCATCTTATTGTTCTTTTCTTCTGCATCCTGGGAGACCTTTCCAAGTTTGTACTGTATATCGCTGATAAGACTTTTGACGGGGTGCCTGCCTGGCTCATTGAGTAAAACGTACAACTCTTGATCTTGAGGTTATGAACTGAAGCCCACGTTGGGTGTGGAGTCTACATTGAAAAAAAAAAAAAAAGATCTTTGACACTTTTCATCTCTTCCCTATGGCCTATAGTGTTTATTTTTGCTGTCGTACTTTTTGTTTCTCATGTGCTCTATTTCCTTTTTCATTTTTTTCCATTATCTTTTCATCCCAGCCAGTTTTATATGACTTTGTGCCCCTGTCTCATAGAGTTTTCATGTGGAGGAATCCTTGTGGATTTCATAGTGAATGATTTTTAGACATGGATTTTTTTTTCTCTTCGTGGTACAGTTTTTCATGGGCATCAGGTTATTCCCCCCCTCCCCCCGCCCCGTTAAATCATTTCCAGATTGAGAGCTATCTCTAGAGCTAGTACAATCAATTGACAGAGGTGCATGGATTGCTTTTGGCTCCACTCCCTGTCCATCTGGTGGAATTCCCTTCCAAACCTGTAGCTTCTGTTGCAGTACCTGTTAGGCATATAGCTGGTGCCAGTGTGCAGGATTGACATGGGACTTTCTTTTACCTCCTACTGTTTCCTGCATGCCCTGCTCCCAAGGTTCTTCCTCTCCCCATTTTTATCAGTAACCCTTTGGGACTTGTACTCCCTAGGATGAATCACTACAAGGCTCCCCCTACTGTCTGCTCCTCTGATATTTGGGAACTACAAGCTTTGAAATTGGATTTGAAAGATGGAGGCGGGGACACCTGAGTGGCTCAGTGGTTGAGCGCCTGCCTTTGGCTCAGGTGTGATCCCAGGACCCGGGACCGGGTCCCACATGGGGCTCCCTGAAGGGAGCCTCCTTCTCCCTCTGCCTGTGTCTCTGCCTCTCTCTCTATCTCTCATGAATAAATAAATAAAATCTTAAAAAAAAAAAAAGAAGAAAGATGGAGGTGTTCTTAAAAGGCCGCATTATAGAACAGCTAGTCTTCTAGCTGATACAAGCCCAGAGTCTGGTCCAGAGGTTTAAAAATGTGGAAAGTTATCTTCTTTGTTTAGGTGAGCAGAGCAATTCTTTCTCTGAGCTCTTTCATGAAGCAAAGCACAGGCAGTCCTATGTTCTTAGGCTGACTCTGTCTACTTTAGAGTTACTGAACATTTCTTCCTAGATTCTGACAGTAGATTGTAAGTCTAAGTGATATTTAGTATTTTGTTCACATGTTTATATTTAAGTGTAAAGTTAGGAGAGGGTATGACAGCGGCTGCTTTTGAAATGCTCTTTCTCATTAAAGCTTACATATTTGTAGTCTATTGACTGTACCTTTCAAGAAAATTACTTTTTTCTTTTTTAAGATTTTATTTATTTATTCATGAGAAATACAGAGAGATGGGTAGAGGGAGAAGCAGGCTCCTTGCAGGGAGCCTGATGCAAGACTAGATCCCCAGACCCTGGGATCAAACCCTGAGCCAAAGGCAGACACTGACTTGTTTTGTTTTGTGGGTTTTTTTTTTTTTTTTTGGTCTCCTGTAGTTTTATTCTCTTGTGCAAAGTCATTATGCCATGTCTTAATATTCCCAATGATAAATTATGCAATTTACATAAAAGAAACCTTACACTAAAGTGTTTACTGCAATCTCTTTGGCACCACAGGCTCCTGGGGGACTTACTGATAACCTTTTGTTTTTTTATTTTTTATTTTTATTTTTTATTTATTTATGATAGTCACAGAGAGAGAGAGAGGCAGAGACACAGGCAGAGGAAGAAGCAGGCTCCATGCACTGGGAGCCCGACATGGGATTCGATCCCAGGTCTCCAGGATCGCGCCCTGGGCCAAAGGCAGACGCCAAACCGCTGCGCCACCCAGGGATCCCCTGATAACCTTTTAAAAAGTTTACTGAGTATAGTTGACACAGAATATTACATTAGTTTTAGGTGTACACATGGTGATTTGACACCTCTATACATTATGCTATGTTCACGAGTAGCTACCACGTGTCATCAGTGTTATTACAATACCACTGACTATATTCCCTATGTCATACCTTTTACTTTTTTTATGTTGTACCTTTTATCCCTGTGACTTAATCATTCCATAACTGAAAGCCTATACCTCTCACTCTCCTTTACCCTTTCTACCATCCAATTCTTCTGATAACGTTTTGAGCTGTATACTTATGGTCATCATTTATACATATTGTCCCATCAATAAAAAGCAATGCCATGCCAAAGGCAGGGCAGTCGGAGTTGTTTGCCCTGGGTGTTGGCAGTAAAGGGGTACATTATCTGTATGAATTTTAAAATAATAAACTGACTACAAGTTTTTTAAAAAGTGTGTTTCTTCTTTGCTCCGTTGGATCTTGAGGATTTCATCTTTAAGATCTGTTTGGATTTTACCTTGTAAGTAGATAAGGATTTTATTGTTGTTTTTGTTTGTCTCTGGAATCATCATAATGGAAGGTAATTTATACCCAGCAAATCTGGGATACTTTTATATTGCTTCTGTTGTATGATGGAGTATCTTTATGCTATCAATTAGATTTTGTTTAATAACCTTTGATGAGTTATATTGGACAATATGGCTGGGTGTAATTTGAGTTGGAAAGTAAATGGAGATTTAAATTTTAGCCTAAAGCACATACTGGCCTTGGAGTTAATTTAATTAATGAATTGTTCTCACTTGTTTCTGGGGGCAACTGCCAAACTACCCACAAGTGATTCCCAGAGGATAAATATCAAAGGAACAGAGGTTGATAGTGAGAGACAGCTTCATGCTCTGGGAATTGTCTTATGGACTAGATCCCCTGGCTCATTATATGCTGGATGGTCATCGCCAGTGGGTTAAGTGGATAACCTCCATTCCCCTGGCCTTCTGTTTCTAGACGGAGGGAGCAGGGAGGGGGCTTTCATGAGGCTGATAGCCTGACCTCCCTTTTCATCCGGTGGGAGGGACACCAATCTGATGAAACTGGAAGAGGAAACGACTTTCTATGGTTTAGAGCCCTGTGAAGGTTTTCTGAGAAGGTTGTCCCTGGTTTTCACACAATCTTTATTTTCAGAGGCATTTCTAAGCCCTGATGGGAAGAGGCAAATTTAATCCAGGAATGAAAGAACTAAGTTCAATATAGAGGCAAAGTTATTAGGAAGTCACTTGGCTATTGATTCAAGCTATAATCTCCATTTCAGCTCCACTGATTTCATGGTTTATATTCTGATTTTGACTCTAGTGTCTTCTTTTCTCATTTGGTTTTAGAACTCGGAGGGACTGACAGAGGAATAATTAATTATTACTCCTAAAAGTCTGTTGTTTAAGCCTGTTTTTTTTTTTTTTTTTTAAAGCCACTATAGTTTAGTAGTGGTTTGGGTTTTTTTTTTAACCTAATCTGACAGTAAGCCTTTTATTTGAAGAGTATAAACCATTTACATGTATAATCATAACTGATGTGTTTGGATGTTATCCTATTAATTTGATTTACGCTTTTTGATGTCACCAAATGTATTTAAGGTCATTTTTGTCAAACAAGTCTCATTGGTGGCAAGTCTTTTCTGTTAATTAATTAGTTCTGTGTGTAGCCTTACACTGCGTAGGCTTTCAAGCCGTTATAACAATAATATTTTACAGATGTTCCGGAATTGAAAGAAGAGAAGCCACAGCCACCACCAAAACAACGTTCTGGAGCTGTGGAAGAAACATTTAGAATTGTTAAGGACTCTCTTAGTGATGACGTTGTTAAAGCCACTCAAGCAGTTTATCAGTTTGAACTCTCAGGTAAGGATGGTATTTGGTAATTTGGTGCTTTTATGAAACAGAGTAGGCTATTTCCCTTGGAAGAAAATCAGCCTCTAGTAGCAATCACCTTGATAGTTGGATGTATCCAGAACCCTTAACCCTAGAATGTAGACAATAGCAAATAACTGCTGATTTGTATTCTTGAGTACATCTGGACACATGTAATATAAAATCTCATTACATAGACTTTCAGGTTTTTTTTTTTGTTTGTTTGTTTTGTTTGTTTTTGTTTTTCGGAGTTTTATACCTTTATTTGACAATCAGTGATTAGTTCTCATCCACATTAACAGTCTGTAGATTTTTGAAAGTGGTGACAGGTATATAGGTAACCAGCGTGTAGAGCATGTTTGGTGAATCTTCATCCTCATTACGTTTTCTGGACAACCATATGGATACGGTATGGAACATTTCTTATTCCTTTGGCCCAGACAGCTTTGTTGAGCCTGGTGTCAATGCTCACATCTGGAGTTCCCATCTCCTTCATGGCAAATTTCCGGATCTCTTTGAGTGCCCGAGGGGCACGCTTCTTGAAACCCACTCCATGGATACGTTTGTGAATGTTGATGGTGTATTCTCTGGTCACTACCTCGTTGATGGCAGAATGGCCCTTCTTCTTCTCGCCACCCTTCTTTGCGGGAGCCATTCTGCCGGGCCCTAGTTGGAAAGGAAGAGGCTTCCAGAGTTAAATAAATTCTTGGCATATGTAGGTGAGAGGAAATGCTATGTAGGAGGGCATATGGATCATGACAGGCAGTGTAATACAGTAATGTATCATCATCCACAGCACCTTGCCCTTTTTATCTTTGAAATTATTCAAGTCTGTCTGCACGTAGGCAGCGTTTTCAAACCCCTCAATATTTTTCTTCTCAACATTTTTCTTCTCAGCATTTTTCTTCTCAACTCATATTAATGACAGTTTTAAGAATGAACTACTTCAGTCCCATTGAATGCAAACTTTGACATTATCAGTTCTTTTATCCTTTGTCTCCACTGTTTCCCCTCTCCTTCCTTTTTTCACCTTAGAGCCCATGGTCCATTGCTTTAACCACTCTCTTACCTGTATCCTAAATTTCCTGGACCTTTTGTGCTTATGTCACCACCTGTCAGAAGCCTCATCCTGGTTGAATCACACTATCTGGCTGCCCTGCAGTTGCATCCAGGCTGTTCAGTCCTCCTGGGGAAATGGAAAAAACCAGTCACACCACCCAGTGGATCTGTAGCAGTAGAAATTCATCATCACCCTTCTTCAGCTGGAATCTCAGTGGTACCTCAGAATTCTGTATTTCTGTGGTCAGCTTATTGCATTTTCCACAGTGACTATTTTAAAGCTTCTCAGTGTTCCACAAATCTCCCATCTCTCTCGTCACCACTTTCCTGCCAGTTTCAGCAGATAACCCCACCTCTTCTTTCACAGTGATCATAGAAACTTGTAGACAAAAGTGCTTTAGCTTCCCGTCATCTGATATCAAATCAGCCATTATGAGTATCATTCTTTCTTCCTTCCCAGTAGAACAAAGCTCAGCTCTAGATTTATGCATCTCATGCTTTATTGTTCGTACTGATCATCTGGGATCATGCTAAAATGCATAATCTGATTCAGCATGTCTCAGGGTCTGAATTCTGCATTTCTGACAGGACTGCAGTCCACAGATCTCACTTAGAGTGGCAAAGTCCTAGATCTCATTTCCTGTGGCCTCCTCAGGGACTTTTTGCTTTTAATTATGCCCTCTCTCTCACCTGCATATCCTACTCCCCAGTGATATTTTAACATTCTCAAAGTCTATTCCATCTTTAAAACAAAACACAATGCCCCTAACCCAACTTCTACCCCCACCATTCTTCTCCCTTTTAAAAAAAGCCAAACTTCTTTTTCTTTTTTTTTTTTTTTTTTTTAAGATTTTTTATTTATTTATCATGAGAGACACACAGAGTGAGAGAGACAGAGACACAGGCAGAGGGAGAAGCAGCCTCCATGCAGGGAGCCTGACATGGAACTCGATCCCAGGACTCCAGGATCAGGCTCTGGGCTGAAGGCAGCACTAAACCGCTGAGCCACCTGGGCTGCCCAGAGCCAAACATGTTTTCATGTACAGTTCACTCTCCTCTCATACCATATTTCTCCATTCTGCTGAATTTGCTGTCACCAAGGTCCTCAGTAACCTATACCATCAGTGGGCCTTTGTCATTACCTTGTCACCTCTCTACAGCATTTGAAGCTGTTGACTGTGCTTGCCTTCTGGGAGAGCTCCCTTCCTTGGCTTCCCTGACAGCAGCTCTCCTTGCTTTCCTCCTCTGTCTGAAATCATCCTTGTCAGTTACAGACTTGCCCTAGGAAACCTCAAATCACTCACCTGGCTTAAGTGGCCATAGGAAATGATTACTTATATATTTTTTTAAGGTTTTATTTATTTATTCATGAGAGACAGAGAGAGGCAGAGACCTAGGCAGAGGGAGAAGCAGGCTCCTCGCAGGGAGCCCAATGCGGTACTCAGTCCCAGAACCCCAAGATCACTCCCTGAGCTGAAGGCAGATGCTCAACCGCTGAGCCACCCAGGCATCCCTATGTATCTATATTTCTAGCCTAGTCAGACTTCATCTGACATTTTCACTTGGTTGTCACAAAGATGCCTCAATCTGAACATATCTAAAACAGTTCCCCATTCCCAGCACCTGCCTCAGACACTCCCTATTCAATCTGCTCTTCTTCAGTAGTCCTCTCAGTACAAAATACATCAGTACTTACCCAATTTCCTGAGCCAAAAACTAGCAAATAATTTTTATTATTTTATTTTATTTTAAAGATTTTATTTATTTATTCATGAGAGAGACACAGAGAGAAAGAGGTAGAGACACAGGCAGAGAGAGAAGCAGGCTCCATGCAGGGAAGCCAATGGTGGGACTCGATCCTGGGACTCCAGGATCACGCCCTGGGCTGAAGGCGGCGCTAAACCGCTGAGCCACCCGGTCTGCCCGCAAATCATTTTTAATGCACTCTCCATACCTTTTCCTCAGCATATTCATTTACCCAGGCTTGGTTTTCGGCTTTGAAATTATCTCTCAGGGGCACCTGAGTGGCTCAGATGGTTAAGTGTCTGCTGCCTTTGGCTCAGGTCATGATCTCCAGGTTCTGTGGTTGAGCCCCACATTGGGCTCCCTGCTCAGTGGAGGGTTAACCTCTCCCCTCTGCCTGTGCTCTCTCTGTCTCTCTGTCTCACTCAAATGAATAAACTCTTTAAAAAGAAAGAAAGGAAAACAAAACAGAAGAAAGAAATTATCTCTCAAATATACCTACTTTTCCCTATTCTCACTGCTACAATCTTGATCCAGGCACACATCAAGTTCCCAAACTACCCCAGCATCATCCTAACCTGCCTTTTTGCATCCTCTCTAGTATATTCTCCACAGCTATTAGGGTGATCTATTTAAATACTAACCTATACCATTCTCCTTCCGTGGCATATCCCTTAGGATGAAGTCAGTGAATCTTTCACATGGCCACTACCCCCTGCCTCTGGACTGCTTCATGAGCTCATCTCATGCCACTCCTCATTCTCTTTCTGCCTTCAGTCCTAAATCACTTTTTTTAGTTCTTCTCAAAATCTAGTAATTCTTACCTAATTTTTAAATCTCACCTTCCACTGGACTTGCCTGACTCCACATTACCCTCCACTTCATCTTGTGTGAGAACCAGGTTATTGCTGGACCTTCAGCTCCTAGCCCAGTGTCTGGCTTGTAAGTACTTGATAAATATCTACTGAATTTGATAGAGGCATGAGGGTCTTAGCCTAGAAAAGAGCATTATGTAAAATTATTTTAATTAGCAGCTATTAAGTTTAAGAAGAACAGGGGGGCATTGGGGCGGCCCGGGTGGCCCAGCGGTTTAGCGCCTGCCTTGGGCCCAGGGCATGGTCCTAGAGTCCCAGGATTGAGTCCTGTGTCAGGCTCCCCACGTGGAGCCTGTTTTTCCCTCTGCCTGTGTCTCTGCCCCCCTCTCTCTGTGTGTCTCTCATGAATAAATAAAATCTTAAAAAAAAAAGAACAGGGCTTCTTTGGCTTTTTTTCCTATATCTTTGCATTTTGCATAGGTGAAGATGGTGGAACGTGGTTTCTTGATCTTAAAAGCAAAGGTGGGAATGTCGGATATGGAGAGCCCTCCAATCAGGCGGATGTGGTGATGAGTATGTCTACTGATGATTTTGTAAAAATGTTTTCAGGTGAGTTTTCAATTTTATTAATTTACTGATTGTTCAAGAAAAATTTAGTTCTAACTTTATTCCTTTCCAGATAATCAAGACTTGTGTTTACAGCAGTAGAATCTTAGCAGCTCTTGATGTTACAGAGCACATAGTCTTCAGAAGGTTGTTCTTACTGTTTGGTACCTGATCTTACGGTTCCCTCTCCTGCCCCTTCTACTTCAGCTATCAAGTGGGAAGTAGAAGTCAGGATTTCCTTTTTGCAGGACTCAGAGGCCCATAAGATAATGTTGGGAATAGAGAGGTAATTCAGAAGGACTCCTAGGTGGATTTATTTCTACTAGCTGGACTAAGATTGCCTTTCCAGTAGTACCTGGGACATAGGAGGTGCTGGACTCAGCTGCACCTCATTTACTGAGAGTAATGTCATGCTTTGATCTTGCTGCAACTGTAATGGGAAACAGAGGCCCTCTCCTGCGGCCCCATGATGCTCCTTTCTGTGGAGTCTCTAGCCAAGAGAATTTTTGCATACTTTTCTATTCTGTCCATATACCTCTAACTGTGCTAGAGAATTTTAAGGGTAATTTTTTCTACTTTCTACTCTTAGAACACTACAAATGGTAACTGCGACATGCATTTATTAGAAATGACACTTTAAAGCATTATAATATTTAAAAAAGGTTCACTTAATGATCTATAAATGTTATTCGTTCTTTGTTCTGTTTTAGTTTTCATAAATTCAAGAAAACAGTGTGTACTCTGTGTCCTGTAGATCTTGCTTTCCAGTTGTAATCCAGGATGTTAGTGGCCTATCTGAGCCAGTCTGTGTATGTTACTAATGATTGAGGTCTTCAACTTTTCCTTTTTTTTTTTTTTAAAGATTTATTTATTTTAGAGTGAGAATCCGTGAGTGGGGTGTAGGGGTAGAGGGACAGAATCTTCAACCAGACTCCCCACTGAGCGCAGAGCCCAAAACAGGTTTCCGTGTCACAGCCCATGAGATCATGACCTGAGCTGAAACCAAGAGCCAGATGCTTAACCGAATTAGCCACCCAAGCACCTGTTTTTTTTTTTTTTACAGTAGTATTAAATAATTCATGGTACAAAATCAGAAAGCATGCTTAAGAAAAAGCAAAATAAAGATACTTCTCTTTTTTTTTTAAGATTTATTTATTTTCTAAGAGAATGAGCACATGAGCAGCAGGAGGGGCAGAGAGAAACAGAGAGAATCTCTAGCAGACTCCACACTAAGTGCGGAGCCTGACATAGGACTGTATCCCAGGACCCCGAGATCATGACCTGAGCTGAAATCAGGTCATGCCACTTAACTGACTAAGCCACCCAAGCACCCCTAATCAAAATAAAGATACTTCTTTATCACACTACCGAGATATCAACCATCACTTGATTTTGGTGTAGAGTCATATATATTTCTGCGAATATATATACATACACACATATGCTTATAAAAACAGGATTATAGCATTACTATTGTTTGGTAATCTTTTTCACTCACACATTATAACATCTTACAGTGTTAATAGTTAATCTTTCTAGTCATTTCTTTTTAAGATTTTATTTATTCCTATGACAGAGCACAAGCAGGGGGAGTGGTAGGCCCAAGGAAAGAGAGAAGCAGGCTCCCAGTTGAGCAGGGAGCCCAGCATGGGGTCTGATCCCAGGACCTGAGCTGAAGGTTGATGCTTAACTGACTGAGCCACCCAGGCACCCTCTCTAGTCATTTTCAATATTGTCTTTAGTGTGTTAGTATTCCAACAACTCTGGCTTCATAAAACTTAAAGCGCTTTGGACATACTAGATGCTCAGTAAATGTTGGCAAATTCACATTTTATAAATAAGTAATATTTTGAATTTAAAGATCATTTAAAATAAAAATTGTCAATTTCTAAACTGACATAATAATTATAGCTAATATGCATTGTATGATTACTATGAGTTAATACTCCATGTAATGCTCTGAGAGGAAAAAAAATTTTTTTTAAGATTATTTATTCATGAGAAAGACAGAGAGGGGGGCGGGGGTAGAGACATAGACAGAGGGAGAAGCAGGCTCCTTGTAGGGAGCCCAATGCAGGACTTGATCCCGGATCCTGGGATCACGCCCTGAGTGGAGGCAGCCACTCAACCACTGAGCCACCCAGGCATCCCTATCATTTCCATTTTAAAAAAATGGAGACTGAGGCATTGATAGATTAAGTAATTAACCCAAGGTCACATAGTGAAGAAATGTTGAAGCCAAAATTTGAGTCCAGGCTCTTAGGCTCATACTCTTTTAATCATTATGCTACTTTGCCATCCAAAGGTGAGTGAGATGACTTCTTTAATTTACATTTTATTTATGTAACATAAACCTGTAATAATGGGCTTTCTATTTATGTCTTTCTGTGAATGTGCTCCTGGATTGATTAGGGGAAGTCAGATAAATGAGTAACTAAAAGAAAAAAAGTATTCTTACAAGCAACAGTGAGTGTGCGTCTGCTTTTTATGTCCTTTTGTTCCTACTCTTTATCCCATCTGCTTTCCTTTGAAGGGGCACAATTTAAACCTTATATCCTAGTATGATTTCTCTCTTAAGAAACTATAGCCATTTCTGACCTAATTTATGTAGTGGATACTTTATAAATATAAAAACTTTAAGCAACTAGTGATCATCTAAATCAAAATCTCCTTTTGGCCAGTAGAGGCCACTGTATGGTAAAGCATTATAATAGAAAGGAAATAAATTGTATAAGATTACCTGTTTAGGGATGCCTGTGGCTTAGTGATTGAGTGTCCGCCTTTGGCTCAGTGTGTGATCCCGGGTTCCTGGGATCGAGTCCCACATTGGGCTCCTGGCATGGGGCCTGCTTCTCCCGCTGCCTGTGTCTCTGCCTCTTTCTCTCTCGTGAATTAAAAAAACAAAAAAGGTTACCTGTTTAATATATTGGGAGGAGAGATTATATATAGGTTATTGTGCTTACTAGCTATTTTTTAAACAATAATATTGAGGTATAATTTACGTAGCATAAAATCTATCCAGTATAAGTATGCATGATTTTTGGTAGATTTATAATATAGAGTTGTACAGCCATCACTTACAGTGCATTTCCATCACCCCAAAAAATTCTCTCATGTCTCTTTATAATCATTCCCCATTTTTACCCTTGGCTAACCAAACACTATTTTGTTTTCGGTCTCTATAGATTTCTCGTTATGTAAATGAAATCAAGCAGTATATAGTCCTTTGTATCTGGCTCCTTTCACTTACCATAAGGCTTGAGATTCATCCATTCATGTTGTAGCATGTATTAATAGTTCAGTTCCTTGTTATTGCTGGATAGTATTCTGTATGGGTATACTACATATTATTTATCCACTCACCAGCTGGTGGACATTTGCATTATTTCAGGTTTTTGGCTGTTATGAATAATGCTGCTTTGACTATTGTCATAGGTGTATTTGGGTGGATGTATATTTTCATTTCTCTCAGATTCCTAAGAGTGGAATTGGTGGGTCATATGGTGAGATATATATGTCTTATATATACCATATGTATATATACCATATGTGTATTATATATATACACATACACCATATATTTGGAGAAACTACCAAACCATTTGCTAAAGTGGCTGTACTGATTTTACATTCTCATTAGTAATATATGAAGGTTTTAATTTCTCCAGATTCTCACCAAAACTTATTAGTGTTTTTTTACAGCTTTATTGACATATAAAACAGAATGACATATAAAACAATGATTTGATACATGTATATACATTATTAAATGCATAATGTTAATCAAGCTAATGTATCAATGAATTAATACATTTATCCTACATAGTTACCTTTTTTATTTTTGTAGTGAGAACATTTTAAGATCTACTTCTAGCAAATTTCAAATATACAATACAGTATTATTAAATATAGTCATCATTCTGTACATTATATCCCCAGGAATTATTCATCTTATAACTGAAAGTTTATACCCTTTGACCAACGTCTCATTTCTCTCTCCTAACCCATGGCAACCACCATTTTACTCTCTGCTTCTGGATTCCACTATAAGTGAGATCACACATCTTTGTCTTTCTGCGTCTAGGTTCATCCATATTATCACAAATGGCAGGCAGCATGTTTGATGTTATAACCATTCTAGTGAGTGTGTGGTGGTATCTCATTGTGACTTCCATTTGTATTTCCTTAATGTTGAGCATCTTCCCATGTGTTTAATAGCCATTTGCATTTGATAAACTATTCATAACTTTTGCTTGTCTTTAAATTGACTTATTCTTTTATTATTAAATTGCAAGATTCTTTATAAATTCTAGGTGCATGTGATTTGCAAATATTTTCTCTCAGTCTGTCACTTCTCTTTTCATTTTCTTAATGGTGTCTTTTGAGGTAACAAAAGTTTTTTAGATTTGATAAAGTCAAATCCATCAGTTCTTTCTTTTATAGTTTGTGCTTTTTCCCTAAGTATTTCATTCTTCTTTATGCTATTGTGAATGGAATTATTGTCCTTAATTTTATTTTTGAATTATCTGTTCCTAGTATACATAAATACAATTAGTTTTTGTGTATTGATTTTATATCCTGCAAAAAACTAGTGAAGCCATTTGAACTTGGGATTTTTTTGTGGGAAAAATGTTAAATTATTAATTCAACTTATTATGTGTAACAATAGCTTTTATTTTTTAACAGCTTTATTGAGGAATAATTCACATACCCTGCAATTCATCCATTTAAAGGGTACAGTTAAATAGTTGTTAGCATATTCACAGATATTTGCAACCAGCACCACAGTTGCTTTTAGAATGTTTTCATCACCTCAGAAAGAAACTCCATACCCATTAACTGTTAACCCCATATCTCCCATCTGCATTCAGCTCTGAGCATCCACTGATCCACTTTTTGTGTCTAGATTTCCCTACTCTGGACTTTAATATGAACAGAATAGTATAATACGCGATTTTTTGTGACTAGCTTCTTTCGGCAAGTTTTTTTCTTTTAGCGTGTGT